AGTAGTGGAATAACATTAGATAGTCCCTCACGTGACTACACAAGTTTAGATCTGCAGGGAGCACACCTGAAAGTCTTGCAATGGATATGTGACAAAGGAGACGAGAATATCATGCAACGTACTGACAATATTTTAACGACACTAGCAAAGTACAGGAACTTCACATACTCTACTGAGACCTTTTGTTCAGGAGGATTCAATCGACTTGCAGCTGCCATTTCTGATGGAAGCATTGATCTCGGTGGTATTATGACAGTAACATCGCATCGCCGAGAACGGGTGCTTTTTCCCAAAGCAGTATACACGGATACCTATGTGATAGTCATAAAAACTCCAGAAACATCCACAACAGCAACATTCAATGTTTTCTCTCCATTTGATTTATCAACATGGCTTGGAATCTCTGGATATGGATTAATTACTGCTACTTTACTTCGCTATATGAATACCAAGGCACACAAAAATGAAAGCAGGAGAACGTGGTACAAGAAACTTGGCTTGTTTTATAACTACATATTTGGCACATTTGTCAATCAAGGTGGCACATATTCCAGTCCAAGCACTGCTATTCGTGTGTTTATCAGCTGCTGGTGGACATTCGTGATTGTGATGGTCGGAACATACAGTGGAACATTGGTAAGCCATCTCTCAGTGCAGACAACTATTGAATACCCGTTCACAAGCCTAGAAGACGCAGCAAACAGCCACCTGACTCCCACCGTTGTGCGGGGATTTAGCAACGAAAACCTGTTACAATACGCTGATCCAGATTCCAACTACGGCAAGATGTGGCGCAAGGTACTGGCTGATCCACAATCAGTTGTGTCAGATATTCAAGAGTCAATCGATTTAACGTTAACTGGCAAGTACTTTACACCGATGCATGCCGTTTCTGCACCGGCTTTCATCGAAGCAGATATTCAAGTGACTACCAAATGTCGACTTACAATTGCACCGTTTCAGTTTCACACAACAGATCACAGTTGGGCCATGTCAAATACTAGTAAATATTTCAGAGCCATTAACACTGGAATACAAATTTTGATTGAGACTGGCCATTTACAGAAGTGGATGAGTCATCAGTCTACGGCTTTTGATAAATGTGTGAAGGCAGAAGTAAATTTGGAATCCGCGTCTCTGTCCCTTCAACAACTCTCGAGTATATTTAAGCTACTCATCTATGGTTGTGCTATTGCAACTGCAGTTCTGATAGGTGAGAAATTTAGTACGATTTTGCGTGAAAAAATTACACGTCATCGATTGAATGTTGATTTATGTTAGATGTTAAGAATTAATGTTAAATGTTAACAGCTATATGTTCATTTCTATATAATGTCATGAACGCTGTTGCTCTTTATTGTACGTGTGTGTTAGATAACACTGTCAGAGGACAAAACCGACACCATATTTTATATGCAATTTTAATGTTTAAATTTTATTCAAAGTTTTTTAGGCAAATACTGGCACTTTCGGCCAAGATTAATACACAGTACATAGCATGAATACATTAGGCACACATGGTGAGCCAGTCAGCGCTTCCATACCGCAGTCTCATCAACGCCATCGACATTCTTTTTTATAAAGTGAACACAATAATTGACTAAATGCCCTGTACCGTGCTTCCGCAAATAAAAGAGCCGTACTTGTGTCTTGACACATAAATAGCTTGCAATATTCACTAGATGCTCTGACAATGCTGTAATTGATGATCATGTTTCCTAATTTCGTCTGTAGTTCCCGGTTCATAGTATTGTCCTCACGTAAGTGCTCGAATATCAATCTAATAAAAAAGAACTTGAATGGCGTTTGAAGTTCAGAATAATCTTCAGATATAATTGTTTTTCTTATAATTTGCATCATTATTGATGAAGGTTTCACCTATTAACTATCAATTTGAGCATGTACATTTAGCATGGATAGATAAGAGTGTTGATTTTAGAAGCCACATTTATTCCCTACAATAAGTTCCAATCTATTCGAACATGAGCATACAACGCGCAACTTGTTGCACAGGAACTCATGAGCCTACATAGTCATAAGCAGACATTACATATATGGCAACGAACTAGCATAAACCTCAATCTAACCAATACACAGACTCGGGTTACATAGCATAAATTATAATCATAACTTATAATAATTAATTAATAATAATGAATATATAGTAAAAACTAACTGCCGCTTTCCTCCGTGAACATTCCAATTAATTCCTGAACAAGTGCATGAATGAACAAACCAAAGTAAATTTAAAAATTTAATAATTCAAACTCACATTTAA